GTCCTTTGATTACTAAATCTTCCGCTGCGCTGCTTCCCAGCCCATGATGATAATGATACGAATGTGTTGTTGTTGAATTCTCGTTGGTTCACTCCTTGTATCGTGCACATTGGCATCTTGTGAATGTTGCACCTATGCTGCTGGTTGTTGCCACTTTCGTCATTGCCAGATCCTAGGCTCTCAGTGCATTTCACTTCCTGATATGCTATAGGAAGATAAAAAATACACATTATTGGATATTTCGTAGAGGGCAAGATGCTAAGAGAAAACGATTTGAAAACGATTCAAAGAAAAGATGGATATTGTGTAGAGATTAAAAAAAGAATGGATATTGTGTAGAGATTAAAAAAAGGATGGATATTGTGGATGACAATGTGAAAACACTGAAAAGCTAGGAAATGGGAAAAAATAAAGGCATTAAAAAAAAGATGGATACTGTGTGTTCTGGCAAGATGCCGAGTCAAATCTTTTATAAACTAGACAATCTTCTGGAAAAAAAAAACAAAAGAATTTCATGTGGTCCTCATCGGGAAAAGGGAAAGGTAAGTTTGATGTCGCCCTACAAGTAGTAATTATTGTCATGTCACCAGTCCAATCCATTCCAATCCAACCCTATCGAATAAAAAACAATCCAATCAGATCCAATCTAATCCATCCAATCCAGTCCAATCAGATCAAATCCAAAAAAAATCAATCCGATCTTTTCGGATCTGTTCATGTTTTCATGTCTCCAATCGACTTTAATCCAATCCTATCCAATTAGATCATATTAAATCCAACCAATCCAATATAAACCAATCCGATCTGTTCGGATCCCCAGTTGACTTTAATCTTGGGTTAGGCCGACGCCCGGTCCACATGGACCGGGCCTGACGGACCGGGCCAGACGAACCGGGGGGGGTCCGTCCGACAAAACCAGATGAGCTAAAAAATGTCCGAGGACTCTTTTTTTTTTGAAGACGTGGATGGACTGCGCTCGTTGAGAGGAGCCCAAATCCACAGAGAAACTTGTGAAAGATGTGTGTTGGAGGGGTGGTGGGGGGGGAGGGGAAGGAGTTTGAGGGGAGGAGGGAGGTGGGGGTTTGACAAGTTTTTAAAAGAGTGTGTTTCAGCAGCCAGTCGGCTGAAGGGAGGGGTAAGAGGAGGAGGAGGAAGAAGAAGAAGAAGCAGAAGCAAAAGTAGAAAAAGAAGAAAGCAGAAGAAGAGGAAGATGAAAAGAGAAGAAAGGAGAAGAAGAAGAAAAGCCAAACTAAGAATGATGATGAGGAGACGAAAGGAGGAAGAGAAGGAGGAGGAGGAGGAGAGAAGGACAAGACGAAAGGAGGAGGCCGAGGAGGAGGAGGAGGTGGAGGAGGACCTACGGGTAGTGTATGTGGATGACGGAAAAAAATAGACAACGACGGAGGTCGAGGAGGAGAGAAGGAGAATAATTAGTAGCTGGAGGAGGAGGAGAGAAGAAGAAGATGAGAGGAGGAAGAGGAGGAGAGAAGGACAAGACGAAAGGAGGTGGAGGAGGAGATAAGAAGAAGAAAACGAGAGGAGGAGGAGGAGAGAAGAAGAAGAAGACAAGAGGAAGAGAAGGAGCAAGAGGAGGAGGACCTGCGGACAGTGTGTGGATGACGAAAAAAAAAAAGAAAGACGACGAGGAAGGAGGTCGAGAAGGAGAAGAATTAGGTGGAGGAGGAGGAGGAGAGAAGAACAAGAAGACGAGAGGTGGAGGAGGAGGAGAGAAGGAGAAGAAGATGAGAGGAGGAGCGGGAGGAGGAGGACCTGCCGGTACTGTATGTGGATGATGAAAAAAAAAAGACGATGAACGAGGTTGAGGAGGAGGAGGAGGAGGAGAGAAGGAGAGGAATAAGTAGGTGGAGGAGGAGGAGAGAAGAAGAAGAAGANGAGAGGAGGAGGAGGAGGAGGAGGAGGAGGAGGAGGAGGAGGAGGAGACAAAAGGAGGGGGAGGACAAGACGAAAGGAGGAGGAGAAGAAGACGAGAGGAGGAGGAGGAGAGAAGAAGATGAGAGCAGGAGGACCTGCCGGTACTGTATGGGGACGACCGAAGGACAAAAAAAAGGACGATGAAGGAGGACGAGGAGGAGGAGGAGAGAAGGAGAAGTCAAAAGTACGTGGAGGAGGAGGAGGAGAGAAGAACAAGAGGACAAGAGGAGGAGGAGGAGGAGGAGGAGAAGGACAAGGCGAAAGGAGGAGGAGGAGAGAATAAGAAGAAGACGAGACGAGGAGGAGGAGGAGAAGAGGAGAAAGAGGACCTGCGGGTTTTGTATGGCGATGATGAAAAATAAAATAAAATAGAGGATGAAAGAGAGAGAGAGAGAGAGAGAGAGAGAGAGAGGAATCCCGCCGTGTGTAGGTTAACTCGCAGCGGGATTTCACCGCAGCTCGCCTATCCCGACACGTGGCCCTTTTCAGCGCACTGATGAGGCCACGTGGCACTTCGCCGAATAAACAAATCCAATGAAATCGGGACGAGGAGGAGAAGGGGAAGAAAGGAGGAGGAGGAGGAGGAGAAGAAAGGAGGAGGAGGGGGAGGAGGACAATGAGGAGGAGAACAAGACAAAAGGAGGAGGACAAGACAAAAGGAGGAGGATAAGACGAAAGGAGGAGGAGAAGAAGAAGACGAGAGGAGGAGGAGGAGGAGGAGGAGGAGGAGAGAAGAAGAAGAAGATGAGAGCAGGAGGAGGACCTGCCGGTACTGTACGGGGGCGCCGAAAGACAAAAAACAGGACGATGAAGGAGGACGAGGAGGAGGAGGAGAGAAGGAAAAGGCAAAAGTACGTGGAGGAGGAGGAGGAGAGAAGAACAAGAAGATGAGAGGAGGAGGAGGAGGAGAATAAGGAGAAGACGAGACGAGGAGGAGAAGAGGAGGAGGAAGAGGACCTGCGGGTTTTGTATGGCGATGAAAAAAAATAAAATAAAATAGAGGATGAGAGAGAGAGAGAGAGAGAGAGAGAGAGAGAGAGAGAGAGAGAGAGAGAGAGGAATCTCGCCCGTCAGCAGGTTAGATCGCGACGGGATTTCACCGCAGCTCGCCTATCCCTACACGTGGCGCTTTTCAGCGCACTGATGTGGCCACGTGGCACTTCGTCGAATACACAAATCCAATGAAATCGGGACGAGGAGGAGGAGGAGGAGAAGGGGAAGAAAGGAGGAGGAGGGGGAGGAGCAGGAGAAAGGAGGAGGAGGAGGGGGAGAAGAAAGGAGGAGGTGGAGGGGGAGAAGAAAGGAGGAGGCGGGGGAGGAGAGAAGAAGACAAAAGGAGGAGGAGTAGGAGGAGGAAAGGAGAAGAAGAATAGGAAAGGAGGAAGAGGAGGATAAGACGAAAGGAGGAGGAGGAGAAGAAGAAGACGAGAGGAGGAGGAGGAGCAAGAGGAGAGAAGAAGAAGAAGATGAGAGCAGGAGGAGGACCTGCCGGTACTGTATGGGGACGCCGAAAGACAAAAAACAGGACGATGAAGGAGGACGAGGAGGAGGAGAGAAGGAGATGGCAAAAGTANGGTGAACAGGTAAGTCTTTTGACAATGCCCTTTGCCTTAGATTTAGATGTGCCTGTTGATAGAGAACTTGACTTTTGACCTGTTTTCACGTTTCTGAGCCCTGGCAAGATACCTTTTCACAATGCTTTACTTTTACAAGGCCCGTGCTTCTCTATTTTTACAAGGCCTGAGGCCTATATTGGGTGAAGGCCCTTTTACTGACAGAGTGTGAGAGAGTATGGATACTCGTTCGTTTTGCGAAATAGGCTTCCGATTTACGTCTGATGAATGTATGATGAGACATATGTCTGATGATTGGCCAGTGTCAGGGATTGGCAGTCTAACGGATGGGCAGTCTGACAGGGTGGCAGTCTGATGAAAGGGCAGTCTGACATATTGATAGTCTGATGGATGGACAGTCTGACAAACAGATGCGGATGTCCGTCTGACGGGCGAACATGCGTGATGGACGGGCAGTCTGGCAGGGGAACAGTCTGACGGATGGACAGTCTGATGGACAGTTCAACGAGTAGTCTGACACAGTCTGACAGAGTCTGGCAGAATCTGACAGTCTGACATAGTATGGATACTTGTTCGTTTTGAGAAACAGTTGACAAATTTACGAATGAAGGGTGAGACGAGGGTGTAGCCAGAGGTGCTTGTTGATGGATGTATGGTGAGGCGAGGGTGCAACCAGAGCTGCTGGTTGGTGTTGGAATACGAAATAGCTGGTTTCCCGCCCTGTTTGTTGGATCTTGGTGCGGACTGCTGGGCCTGCAGATGGGTTGTATAATTTTCAACAGGTGCGAGCACGTCTTGGGTTCTTCAAGATAGGAAAGGAATGCAAGTTTGTGTGAAATAGCCTTCGATGAAGTTCGATCACTATTCTAAGCATGCTGTGTAAAATAGCTTTTCAAAGTCTTTTGATCACTAACCAAAGACGAACTAAAATTTCTTATCTCATGCAACGCGCTTGGGTTGTGTAGAACATCCTTCAGTCACTTATTCAAACATGATGTGTTAAATAAGTTTCTGTACGCACATTTGTTTTACGGCACCCTTATTTGTCGGATCTTGTCTTTGCGGCTAATCATATTTGTCAATCTTTTTTTTGTCCTCCTGTTTCCTTCATTGATTGTTGTGGCAGTCCCTGTACGGACAGCGAGCGATCAGCCTTATAGAATTCAGGACTTCCGGTTACGGATTTTCAGGGCAGAAGATGTAGCACAGGCACCAGTTGAGGTATGTAGCCAAACCACACCATTGGGATTTTGCCCAAATCCTTACTGAATCCAATCTTTATTTGGACTGTGGAGGAGGAGGAGAGTGTGGACAGGAAGGGGATTATGAATTTGATCTTCTTTTCAAATCCTCCGTTGTTGTTGTTGAGTAATAATTTGATCTATGTAAAGTAATAGTAGTAGTAGTAGGAAAGTGGTTTTGTGTGGAGAATCAGTGGATATGGAATGGCTCTCCTTTTGATTCTGTACCATCCCCTCCACCCCCAACCCGTCATTTCCTTAACCCCCCCCCCCCCCCCCCCCCCCCCCCCCCCCCCCCCCCCCCCCCCCCCCCCCCCCCCCCCTCTTCCCCCTCCTCTCCTTCCCTTGTTGGATTCAGGATGTCTGGCTCCTAGCATGAGCTCCTTCGGTCTATGAAAAGGTTCCCTCAAGTGGTCTATGAAAAGGGCCCCTCAAATGCTGATGCCTCCCCGGTCGGAATGGTAGCACCATCATCAATCCACAGGCATGTTTATTTTTGTTTTGAAGTAGCAAGGAAAACAGGGCTGGAGACTGAGCTTCTAGAGAAGCAAAGAGTTGGATGCCACAGACTGGCCGAATGTGGAGGGGGGTGGAGAAACCCCTCAGCATGCCCTCCTGGGTATGAGCACAGCAAGAGTCTGGGTTACCAAGGAGGAATTACTCAGGAATTACGCAGTTGGTACACTACGAACCGTTGAAATTGAAATACAGACCCAAGTTCGAATCCAGTTACAATAAGATGACCAAAATAAAATCATTCTGAATTGCCTGTGGCCGGTCAGTTCAATGATAATATCTGAAGGCCGTTGCCTTTTTAATCAAAACTAAAAAAATTGACTTAGTTCGTTTGTTGATGTGGTTCGGGAAGGGTAAGGTAGTGATTATGCTGTATGTATGTTTTGTTGTATTCGCTATACACAACTTGAAGAGAGTGTGTGTGGGGTCCCGGTTGGTGCTTTATTCACGATGTTCATGGGACGCTGGACCCAGTTTCCAKCAGGTGGCACTCCCCATCAATAGACAGGAGAATGTGTGTGAGTGTGTGTGTGTGTGTGTGTGTGTGTGTGTGTGTGTGTGTGTGAGAGAGAGAGAGAGCGCTGTCTCTTATACACATCTAGATGTGTATAAGAGACAGGAGGAGGAGAGGAGAAGAATAGGAAAGGAGGAAGAGGAGAGGAAGAAGAAGAAGAGGAAGGAAAGAGGTGGAGGCTTCACGGCGATGGCAATAGCAGCTTCACGGGCAGGGACGACGAGGAGGGCTTCTCGACGAGGCGGCTCGATGGAGCCAACGATGGGCAGCCCGACGAAGACGGGCGGGCTTCACGATCGCAGCGACGACGGGCTTCGCAACAGGGAATAACGCATTGGAATTTGAACGCGGCATCGTAGCCCATGAGAGGGGGAAACGATTTCTTGGCGGCTAATCTCAACCGAAAACCTCACTCCGCCCCCTCAAACTACTTGTACATTGTCTTAGATTAAAAAAAGAAAATTACCCAGTGTCGTCGGAGGCTGGGGAGGCGACCAGTAGGCAAAAAAGGCCTCCCCCCCCCCCTGCGCGAAATTGTGCTGGCCTTGCCCGACCCCAAACCGGGGGACCCAACCGGCCGGGACACCCGGGACCCCTGCCAGACGAAGGCCAGGCCACCGGACGGTCCGGAGTTTAACACAACTTTAATCCAATCCAAGATGATGTTCCCAATCGACTACAATCCAATCCAAGATGTTTTCATGTCCCCAATCGACTTGAGTCCAATCCAGTCCAATCAGATCATATCAAATCCAACCAATGGAATCAAAACCAATCCAATGAAAACCAGTCCAATAAAAACCTCTTCATGTTTTGATGTCCCCAATCGACTTAAATCCAATCCAATCCAATCCAATCCAATCCAATCAGATAAAATCCAACCAATGCATTTAAAACCAATCCGATGAAAACCAGTCCAATCGAAGCCAATGCGATCTATTTGGATCCGTTCATGTTTTCATCTCCCCAATCAAGTTCGATGCAAGGAATTATTAAGTGCGCCCAGGTCGCAGATCTCGATTGTAGGCTGGTTCCAGCTCTGCCACACCATCTCAAGCTGGCCGAGGCCAAGGGTGTGAGCTATGCATGCGTGGTATGCCTAGTGATAGGTCATGCCTGAAAGCAACACGTGAAAGTCGAAGAACGACTTGGATGAAGCAGAAGGTAAGGTTAGGATAACGGACTTGATATGTGAAGTCGGTCCCATTCCGGGCCATACTTTATTGTCCACGTCTCAAGCAGGCGCCGAGCCGATACGTGGACAGTAAGCCACTGCGAATCCAATCCACTCCACTTCAATCAGATCAAATCCAATAGAAACCAATCCAATCAAAACCAATTCAATTGAAAGTAATCCAATAAAAAACAATCTGATCTATATTTGGATCCCTTAATGGAATGCGACCAACTGATCTGCTCTACCCAAGCCGTCCAATAGAATCCTCTATCTGTCCAACACATGACACTGTATGGAAATGTCCACAGCGTTGTTAAATGCACTATTATGTGCGTTTGGAACCAGTTCGTCCAACTCATCCACATCCAGCTCAAGGAATGCGTTCAATCCATTCAATCCATCGAGTTATCCACATGAAACAATTTGTCCAATGCACTCCATCCCATTTGTGGAAACCTGTAGACGGACTGTTGCATGTGTGGATGAGATGGATTGTTGCATGGGTGGATTAGATGATTGCATCTAATCAGTGGAATGCAGTCGATGGATTAAATATAACCCATATTTATCTTATCTTAGTCCATGCAATCCATCCAATTCATGCAAATTCGTCCATTCCATATATTAGAAAGATAGTCCCATTCATTGAACCTATTGTATGGATTGAATTTGTAAACTTACTTCCATCCCATCCATCTCATCTAATCCGTTTGTCCTCATCCATCCATCCATCCATCCATCCTCCGCTCCAATCGTCCAATCCAAGCTGTGCAATTCTCTATGCAGTTGTAACTGTGGATCAAATCCCTCGTTTGTTTGCACATACAATCCAACCTTTGCCAAGGCCTTTTGCACATATGTTCCGACCTCTATGGATTTTCTTTTTCTTTTTCCGTCCGCGGCGACGTGGATAATGTTTTTTTGCCTGTGTCAAGGTTTGCTGCCCTCTGTCGTGGTGATGCCTGTGCGGTCCCTCTTAGCAACTCCGGCTTTTGTTGTTGGCTTCATGTGTCTTCATCATCGTACATCATTCATATCAGCATGCATCTCATTGGTTCATTCACCCATCCATCCTTTCAGGATACACGTCAGCCATCCATCCATCCTTTCAGGATACACGTGAGCCATCCATCCATCCTTCCACGCATCCATCCCTCAACCCCTCCATCCTGTCCGCTCATTTATCCGTCCAGGATGCATGTCAGCCATTTATTATATATGGTCCATCCATCCATCCGCCCATCCATCCATCAATGCATCCATCTGTCCATCCATCTGTTCGTTTATCATTGCCATTCATCCATGCTTCCATCTATCCATCCCGCCACCCTTCCACCCCTTTATTCTGTCCGCTCATTTATCCGTTCAGGATACATGTCTGCCATTCATGATGTACGGTCCATCCGTCCATCCGTCCATCCATCCATATGTCCATCCATCCATCCATCCATCCATCCATCCGTGGATCCATCTGTCCATCCATCTGGTCGTTTATCCATTGACATTCATCCATCCTTCCATCCATCCCTCCGTCCCGTTCGCGCATTTATCTGTTCATCCATCCGTCCATGCGTCCATCCATCCATCTATCCATCCATCCATCCATTCGTGCATCCATCAGTCCATCCATTTGTCGTTATCCATTCTGGATAGACATGAGCCAGTCATGATACCTGCTATCCATCCATCTGTTCATTTATCCTTTTAGGATACACGTCAACCTTTCCGGATACATGAGATTGGCTGATGGATGGCCAGTGTGAGGGATTGGTAGTCCAACGGATGGGCAATCTGATGGAAGTATGTACGATGGATGGCCAGGGTCAGGGATTGGCAGTGTTACAGGGGGGCAGTGTGACAATGGGAAAGTCTCACAGATGGACAGTTTGACGATGTATGTCTGGCGGGCGGACATATCTGATGGACGGGAAGTCTGATGGGCGGGAAGTTTGACAGGGGAACAGTGCGGCTGATGGAAAGTGTGATGAACAACACAACGAGTAGCGTGACGGGGCTGAGGCAGAGCATCGAGGTCGGGTAAGAGAGAGGGAGGGAGTGAGAGCACACACACACACACTCACTCAACTCGACATCGACTCGACACGACTCAAGGGACACAAACACAAAGTGGCGAAATCCCAATCTTGGGTTTGGAACACAATGTCGCATCAAGTCACACTGAAGCACAAGCATTGAGGCCGATAACTGAATGCCCGAACTTAGCTCGAGTCCGGTCTCAAGTACCAAATAGTAGTTGAGTGCGAGGGCAGAAGTGCAATTTGCCTCGGGGCTGAACTGAAAATCGAAGGTCTGAGCTTGGGCGCCAGAATGCCGGATGGCGCCAAGTATCGAAATTTGGAAGTGCCCGAGGAGGGATTCGAGAACGGGTGCCAACTGCAGAGGGTGCCAACAGTCAGGAACCGAAGATCAAAGATTCAAAACTAAAATCACAGCCTAGCGGGTGGTAACCCGCGGACCAGGGATCGAGCCCTAGCTGAGTACGTAACACTATCCCCTCCCTCAGGAAGGCAACGTCTCGGTTGCCAAAGACCCAATGAACAAATGTGAAGGACGGGACGGGGCCGATCACTAGTTAGTAAAGGAAAGGGGGAGTAATGCAAGTAGCAGAGTAGTCCTATGGAGGTTCTACAGGGGTGAGGGAATCGATGCGGAAATAACAGTGTAATCCTATTGAGGTTCTACTAGGATGAGGGAATCGATGCTCAAGTAACAGGGTAATCCTGTTGAGGTTCTACAGGGATGAGGGTAGCAA